CCAGCTTGAAAGAGCTCCTGTGTGTCGCTGAATGTGAGCATTGATGACTGAAAGACATCTTCTGCCTCCATTTATCTGTTTACTACAGTCTGTTGGATTCATGTTCATGTGGATTTAAAGACATTTCAATTAGTGGAAAAAATAGCAGGGGGAATATAAAAAAAGTCAAATTAATCAAGACTTTTGCGACCCCCATGCAGCACCTCTGTGGACCCCTGTTGAAGACCTCTGGTTTAAAGTGTAGTTCAATGTGGATGAAAAAGCCTCCATAATTCCGCTTTGAGTGATTTAGTTTCATAGCTGAAGTATGGAAGTTGATATACAATTAAAGAGATGCTGTGTGCTGAAGAAAACTTAGTTTATGGGAATCTCCTCTTAAGATGAAGATGTGGTGGCTCTGAAAAGAGCCTTTGGTGCAATAAATGCAGGTTGAAGCAGTAGTTTACTTCTTGGCTTTCTTGGCTGCAGGTTTCTTAGCAGCAGGTTTCTTGGCTGCAGGTTTTTTAGCTGCAGGTTTCTTGGCTGCAGGTTTCTTGGCTGCGGGTTTTTTAGCTGCAGCCTTTGGCTTCTTGGCGGCTTTTTTGGGGCTCTTCACCTTTTTCACGGCTTTCTTGGCGGGGGCCTTCTTGGCTGCTGCTTTCTTAGCGGCGGCTTTTTTAGGTGTAGTGGCCTTCTTGGTAGCCGGCTTCTTGACCTTTGCGGGGGCCTTCTTCACCACCTTCTTTGCTGGTTTGGGCTCCTTCTTGGCGAGCTTGAAAGAGCCGGAGGCCCCGGTCCCTTTGGTGTGGACCAGAACTTCCTTCTCGACTAGTTTGGTCAGGGTTGAGTTAATGCGCTTGTTTGCCTTGGACAGATCCACGCCTTTCCCATCCAGGACCTTCTTGACCGCCGCCACAGAAATGCCCTTCCGCTCCTTGGACTCGGCCACGGCGGCCACGATGAGCTTTGACAGGCTGGGTCCGTCATTCTTTGCTTTAGTAGCGGCCTTCTTCCTCGGGGCTTTGGCCGGAGCCTTTGCTGGTGCTGCTGGAGCTTCTTCTGCCATGTTTCCCGGTTAATGTTCCACTGAAAGTGTCCCGCTCCGAGCAGGAGGAGGAATTTATAACAACAATGAGAACCGTGAAGAGACAATCCAGCCAGCTGCCCTGCTCCCGCCTGAAATTGCTCCGCGATTGTGTTTTCTTCGCCGTGTTTAAAGCTTTAAATCCTTATTAAATGAGTGTTTTCTGTCACATTTTTTATTAAAACCGAAAGGAAAGTGTCCTCTCTCCACATTTAGGTCACATTTGGTTTGCAGGACTTTCTCTTTTTGCTCCAAGAGCGCTCAAAGGTGCCGGAAACGTTCTGTTTTTGCACTTCGAGAGGAGAGTTTTCTGCACGTTTTGTCTTTTAAAACCACTAAAACCAGATTCCAAAGGGCATCAAACCTGTGCCCCTGATAGAAAAGAAGGTTGTTGACAAATTGAAGTCAGAATAGTTGTAGAAGTTTGATTAATTGGTTTTAAAAGAGGCTTGTTTCCCCGACAGTAAACACACGGCATCTATCGATGATTCAAACAGTCATGATTCCTCCCTATGCTGGTTCCAATGGAAAACCTTCCATCCTCCATCTACTATTTATACATACACCTAATATATACTCTGATCAGATTCTGAAAAATAGTCCCCTTAAGCATTGTGAGCTTGTTTGTTCTACCGAAATTATTATTTTTTTATTTGTCTGTGATCAGTTAACATGGTTTGGTGGAATAAAAATACATTTGAATATTTGTCNGCCACGGCGGCCACGATGAGCTTTGACAGGCTGGGTCCGTCATTCTTTGCTTTAGTAGCGGCCTTCTTCCTCGGGGCTTTGGCCGGAGCCTTTGCTGGTGCTGCTGGAGCTTCTTCTGCCATGTTTCCCGGTTAATGTTCCACTGAAAGTGTCCCGCTCCGAGCAGGAGGAGGAATTTATAACAACAATGAGAACCGTGAAGAGACAATCCAGCCAGCTGCCCTGCTCCCGCCTGAAATTGCTCCGCGATTGTGTTTTCTTCGCCGTGTTTAAAGCTTTAAATCCTTATTAAATGAGTGTTTTCTGTCACATTTTTTATTAAAACCGAAAGGAAAGTGTCCTCTCTCCACATTTAGGTCACATTTGGTTTGCAGGACTTTCTCTTTTTGCTCCAAGAGCGCTCAAAGGTGCCGGAAACGTTCTGTTTTTGCACTTCGAGAGGAGAGTTTTCTGCACGTTTTGTCTTTTAAAACCACTAAAACCAGATTCCAAAGGGCATCAAACCTGTGCCCCTGATAGAAAAGAAGGTTGTTGACAAATTGAAGTCAGAATAGTTGTAGAAGTTTGATTAATTGGTTTTAAAAGAGGCTTGTTTCCCCGACAGTAAACACACGGCATCTATCGATGATTCAAACAGTCATGATTCCTCCCTATGCTGGTTCCAATGGAAAACCTTCCATCCTCCATCTACTATTTATACATACACCTAATATATACTCTGATCAGATTCTGAAAAATAGTCCCCTTAAGCATTGTGAGCTTGTTTGTTCTACCGAAATTATTATTTTTTTATTTGTCTGTGATCAGTTAACATGGTTTGGTGGAATAAAAATACATTTGAATATTTGTCAATTTAAAATGTGTGTGTATATATATATATAACTTCTTAGCAGTGGGGAAAACTTGATTTTCAAACAATTCATATGACTGAATACATTTTTTGTTAAGTCTTCTTTAATGTAATTGCAATCACTGCTGATGGTGATATGTTCCGTAATTATTATGACACATGACACAGTCATAATTATTATGAATAGGTTCTTTATTTAACAAATTTACTTTGAATCAAAATGACTAAAAATCTGTGAAAGTCTGAAAAAACACAAACAGAGCAGGACAGGATATTTATATATTAATATAACATAATGTTAATGGGTATCCAGTTACCGGTAAGCTTATTTTGTTTAAAAAAAAACATGCATATGCAGCTTTCTATTTTATTTTATTTCTATTGTCATTACACTTTCACAAGTACAGAGCAACCACATGAACTCTCTGCATTTAACCCATCCCTTTGGGGAGCAGTGGCCTGACACTATGTAGCGCCCAGGGAGCAGGCTGGGGTTAAAGGTCTTGCTCAGGGACCCAGAGGCTTGAACTCAGAACACACTCCCCTAAGCATATGACAGCAGCTCACTTCTCTGATTACAGTTAAAACCTGAGTTAAGCACATCACACACAAGGACTGGTAATCGTAATAGCATGTTGTTATTAAGTATAAGTGCAGCTTTGTGCAACATATCCACTCACATTAATATCGTTAGTCATAACTTTTCTATTTTTTTATTCCAATATTTTACATCCACCTGTGCAAAAAATATTTTCTTCTTGACACACTGCAGTACTCGTTCATGCTTGTCTGCTCTGTCACCGATGACTGGGACCTGAATATCAGATACTGCACTACTACTTGGTTGAAGGTTCTTAGGTTTCCTACAGTTTGCTGAATCAGTCGGTAATCACAACTATTTATTAAAGAACTCAATCTTCATACCTCCGCTGTCGGACAAAATTGTCCCACTTCCTCTCTGCCTCGGCCGTATCTAGACCCTGAGCGTATAATGCAGACCACGCCTTAATATTGAGCATAAATCAAAAACGTCTGCGTCAAGCTCACTGCGACACACTGCTGCGGGGCGTTTCCACGAAGCGCGTGTCGAGGCTTGATTTATTTAGAAGAGGAACCAAGATTGATTACGCCCAAGGCCTCACTACCGTGATACCATGAGA